CTGCTTGTGGCCAATTCACACACGCAAGCATACACACGCACACATCACAAGACACACGCGCAAGATCGCAGGGAAACGCACAGGATCAGGTAGATCCACACACACACACACACACACGCACACGCGTTTGCATTCACACGTTCACACGAGAAAGAGAGGAGAGAAAAAAAAGGGAGCGTGGTCAAGTTAAGAGCATTTGTCTGAGGTTAAGCTTTGGTGATTTCAGAAAGGTTCTTAAGAGTTTTTTTTTCATGATTGCAATATCGATTTTTAAACAATTTTTGTGCCTTTTCTTTGTGACGTTATCTAATTAGAAGTCTCTGATATCACCAACGCTTATTAGCTCAGACGCTCCCGCTAGACTGGCGCTTCGTATCCGGCTCCTCTTCTCAGGACAAGTGGAAACGTCTTAGAATAAACATGAAAAAAAAACATGTCAAATTAACTCGTTCATCTAATAGTTTTCTTATCCTTTTTTTATCTTTTCAGTTTCGTTTCTCGAGAGAGTTTATATTCTCCTTGTTTAATGTATATTTTTTTTTGTTTTAATTTTATCTACAGTTTATTCTATTATTCTAATGGCGTCCACTTGTCCTAAAAAGGGGCCCTTACCGTAGGTCTTTCTGCTGGGACTCTTGACGCGCTGTGTTTAACCATTATCATCTTCCCCTTATGGAGAGGCCTTTCAGCAAACTCCCTTTGGATCTTTATTTGTGTAATTTTTCTTCTGGAAACCTTGGACAGCGTTACCTGCGAGACGCATCTCTGCCCCAAGTCCAAGGGAGAAGAAGAAGGAAAGGAAAGAAAAGGAAGAAACCTTCCCTTCCCATGCCCTTGCCTACAACCTGCCCTTCTTCCCTCTTTGCCCCCTCTGTCCCTTCTATCCCCTTTGCCCTGTTTCTCCTTCCCTTTCCCCCCTTTCCCCGAAGTAAGTGGTAAACAAACCCCATGCCCGACCCTGACACTCACCACTGTGCATTCGCTTGATGTGCACCTTCAGTTTCTGAGGCTGACAGAACTTTCGTCCGCAAAAATCGCAGAGAGGCCTTGTACGCTGCGGGTTGGCGGCACAGCCGTAGGTGCGGTGCATGTCCAGGTAGTTGAGACGAAGGAAGAACTGCAACGCCACACAAGCACCCTTTCTACAGCCGCCCTTGTGACCAGGGGAGCCAAGCGTGTCCGGCTTATGAGGCTCGGCTGCTCGTGCCAGAGCGATAACACGCTGCCTCCCAGCTGCTGCACGCTGCACCTCGAGAGCTGTGCTGTTTGGCTGCACGTACACACACCGCCGACACTGCTGCACACCCTCACTCTCAACCCACAGGGGGAGTCGCATTGCATTGTTTTTTCTTTACAATTGGATCTTAAATTATTACCATTTTCATTTCTTTTTTTTTGAAGAGGGGAGGGAGGGGAGGTGTCTCTAACACATAACGTTGCGAAAAATCGTCATGGAAATAATTCGAGAGAAAAAAAAAGAGAATATTGTGGATGGAGGTGGCACAATGAAATTATACAAAGTTTATACACCTAAGCAAGCAGCTCAACTCTCAGGAGAGCTTTATCGAGCTTTTATTTTGAGAGGAGTGTGGAGTGTAGCGCAGCCGACAGCACAGCTCCTTAGTGCCTTGCGGTCTCCACTCAAGATAACTATGACACAACCTTAGTCTGTGTCTAGCACTGAACTAGCTGAATTACGTACTCTATTTTTGTTATTATCTCTTTCTCTTTTACTTGATCTTTACTTTGTTATTATTTATGAACACATTGACTCGCATACCAGTTATGTACTAAAACTGAACTATCTGACTTCTTGACTTGACTTGAAATAATTATGAGAGCTAAAAAAAAACATATGTCAAAGCATTACTCGGAACCAATAATAAGTGTGTTATGCAAAATACATTTGGAAATAAAGGTTTAATACTGAAAACCCGTACTTCAGAGCAATTAAGAAAGAACACCGAGCAAAAAAGATAGAAAAAAAAACAGATAAAATGCACGGGCCAATTAATAATGATACTTAGCATCAAAATGCAGATAGATAGGATAATCAAAGAAGTTGAGTAATGATATAAAAGGACAAAAAACTGATACACAAAATGTACCAGAAATATCAAATATATATATATATATATGTATATAAACTTTGTATAAGAAAAGTTCATATTGGGTGCAAAGAATGAACGTATGATTGTGCGAGATGGAAAAAAAGTCAAAAATATTATGGAAAGGTGCATAACTTGGATTTTAACGTGCAAAAAAGATGAAACAAGGTATTGAGAATTAACAGGGGACTGTACTTAATGTTTTTTACCGCACGTTTAAAATATATATATATGTGAGAAATTTCTCTCTCTCTCTCTCTCTTCATTTTAGTTAAGATCATCCTTTTCTTCATCTCCTCTGTCAAAAGATCTAAAAATTCTAATAGGCCTAATTCTATGCGACGCTTTTTTCATCTAATTGTATATACAGCATCATTCATTCCTCTTTCTTTCGCTCTCTCTCTTCTCTCTCTCTCACTCATCTGACGCTAAAACATCGCCCTTATAATCTAAAAATCTATCTACACCTAAAAGTTCTTCTCGGCGAAGCCATAAGACAGTACTAAACTCTGGCATCTTTTCTAACCTTAAGGTCTAAGTTACCGTTGCAAATTATGTCTAATTCCCTTCTATCAGCCGTTCTAAGCCTCTAGAAACTGTCAGCGTAAGACAAGGAATGACAGTGGATCTTGGCAGTGTCTAACAGGGTTATTTTTTAAAAGCTTTCTGCAGCTTTTTTTTTTGTTTGTTTGTTTGTCCTGTCATGGAGTATAGCACGCCTGACAAGATTTTTTTTTTTTATATTGAAACCATGTGCCTCTTCTTTTTTTTATTGATATATATTTTTTTCTGACGTTATGGGACCCAAAGATGGAGGGAAATTATTGTGGGCTTTTGGATACTTGAAATGGGTTATGGAAGTGACACATTCATCTGACGAAAGATTAATTCACAGATCAAATTTCTCTTGCCAATCATATTATTCGTCATCAATTTCATCTTTAAAAGAAAACCCACAATAATCCACATCAAGCCATCTACAATATCTAATGAAGAGACCACAATGCATGGGATTTACCATACAATCTCACTGTCTTTATTTTTATTTTATCAATTCACTATTATCATTATTATCTTTTTATATATAATTTAGATATATATATGTATATATTGTAACAGTTTGAGCTTCCCGAATGTCCAGGTTCCAGGTCGTTTTCGTGACCAGCTTCTGCCGTCAAGGGTCCCAAGAATGACCTTAGTCTAGCGCAGCATCTAAGCTAAAGCAACGACATCGATAACATTCATTCTAACTCGGAACTCAAGGAGAGCACGGTCGCTGGGGCACAGCCGGATGCTACAGTCACTATATCCAGTCTCTATATCCAGTCCACGGTCCACATACCAGGTCCTACAGTTACAACCAGTTATACGGTCAGGACTAAAATGTGTCGCAGGGTTTTTTTTTTTTTTTTTTTTTTTTTTTTTTTTTTTTTTTTTTTTTTTTTTTTTTTTTTTTTTTTTTTAATGTCGCAAACAGTTTGGTCCAGAACTTCAGATTAACTATTTCCTAATGTATGTATTGTGTGTCTATATGATTTACGAGGTAACAATTTTGTTAATAGCAATATGTTGGTTGATTACTTCATCAAAGTAATTGCCATACTTGAAAGTTAATCCATGTAATTATGTATAAAGCCCATTTGAACGATATTTAAAATCTAACTGATTGCAAATTTCTCTGTCTATAGAATCAACATCTCCTCTTGCTGGAAAAACTTTGCTGCCTTTAGAAATAAACTTAAATAACTTTCCGTAATAATTTACGGACATATTCTAACAATATTCACTGACCTTTATCATGGGTCTGAATTCTAAATGTATTTGTTGGCTCTTTTGATACAACTGAATCCTTACGGTAAAAAGCAATATGTAAGTATTAATGCCTGGGCACTTATTTTCCACAGTGTTTGTCTCTGTCCTAAAATAAGCCTATATACACCCTTTTCAGTCTCTAATGTTAACGCGTCTCTTTATATAGTTATGTGTATCAACTTAGACTATGTGCTTATCCATACACTTTCAAGGGAACGTGTAGACTATCATTATATCCTTTTTACACTTTTTTTGGAATAAGGAAAGTCTAAGAAGCTTTATTTCTACCTCACTATTACCTAGACTGTAATTAGTGACTATAGTAAAAGTAAATAGAATTAATCAAAACTAGGCCAATGCCCGGAATACATGTCTCTGAAGTTGTGTAGTGTGAGACCCGTACTGTATCTCAGTTTCAAATTACTTCTATGCAAACTACGATAGCTAATTGCTACTGTAGGCCTGTAAAACCCAGGGCAGTATATGCCTTTCGGTTCAAGTGGTAGTGCTAAGCTCTATCATATAGCCAATATAAGTCTGGTTTGTCCTTATTGTCACCTATGTCTCGTCCTGTATTGTTTGAGAATTGTCTACTACATATGATCTTCTCTGAATCCTAAGAGAGAATTTAAAACTATCGTAGCATAGGTATATGAGATTTTTTTTTTTTTTTTTAATTCTAAAAACAGACAATTTTTAGATAGATAGAGATGAATGAAACATTGGAGCTTTCAACATCAGAGAACTATCTAATATCCATAGAAATGTTTGTGTAATCTTTGATCTTCACATCAGAGAAATATTAACAACTAACTCAAAAGAAGATTTTTCTTTTAGTCACTGATCATACTTTGAAGTTGGCACTACTTTGAAAATTACCAATAATTCATTTGTCTTCTTTTCATGATTGATATGATATAAAAAAGAACTACTGACCTCTTATCATACCTTTTCGTACTACAATAATCTATTCACTTCTAGATGCCATAACTTATATCAGCTTCCTGTTGGTAATCTCACTTATCGTCAGTGGGTCATGATGTCGTCAATTTATTTGATGTTCTCGGTCATTGACAACTT